GTTTAATATATAATGGAATTTAGTAAAAAGGAGGAGGTTACTCAAGTTGGCAGCACTCTTCTTGCTATACTCAAATTGGCACTCCACATGAGTGAGCGAGAGAGAGACGAACATAGCTGTGGCTGCACGGCAGTTGAGTGCGAATGAGATGGCACGCTGGCCCCTTGTGAAACCAATGTGATGTTCATTGTGAATGCACATAGAAAACTGTTCAGCATGGAGGGCAGCTAAATTGTAGAGGCGCATCACATAATATAGTTGGCTCCACTTGATTTAATAAATCCTGCCAGCCTTTCTATATAGGTAAAAGACATTTCTGGTCTGTGTAAAGAGTGTTAAAGCTTCGTGATTTTCATTTTCTTGTTGTCTTTGCAGTTTTCCTGTTGTTGCTTTTCATTTGATTTTGCTGTTTGCGCCGCTGTTGAACGCCTTTGTCAACGATTTATGCGAGTGAGCGCAGTGTTGTTATTGTCCGCTCACACGCATGCGCAACACCAACACCAACAACAACACCAGCAACAACAACCAGAGTGATTTGCAATTTTCAGTAGATGACAAAAAATAGTATTTGGAATTTGTTGACTTCTTCATTTGCATTTCGTCGTAATACGAATGCAATTTTATTGCATTGGCCATTGAGCAAATGACCAAATGATAAAATGACCAAATGACAGCTGGGCCCATAGAGACATAGCTTGGTCGAGTACTCTAATTAAATCGTATTAATTGCACAGCAGCCATTGCACTCAATTGCGGCAATTGTGAGAACCAACGGAATCGAAATCGAAATCGGAACACGGAATACGGAATTCGGAATTCGGAATTTGGTATATGGAATGCGAAGCGCGACGATTGCACAATAAATTGCCGGCAATTTGTCGACTCCCATTATGCATTCGATTCGAGCTCGAATCTCAGTTTCAATTTCAATCTGGTTTCGAATTCGAGCACTGAAAGCGCGGCCAGACAAATTGAAGCCATTCATTCGCTCGCCTCGAAACGTGCCGAGAGAAGCCGTCGAAGGCAAGCCGAAGCCTTCATTAGCATTTGCTTCGTCTGATCGCTTATTCAGAACTGTTCTGAATGCATAATGCATTATTCGTATAATTCGTTATGATTTTTAAATGTGCTGTCACTCGCACTCTATTAGAGCTTATATTGTAATGAGCTATGGATTGATTGAGTCACTCTCATTTCTATATCCTAAATTTCTTTCATTGTAAATGGGAGTTTTGGGGAAATTTTGGTTTTGTTGAAATGTGTGTAACAGGCAGAGGGGGACGTAGTACACCTCTTAAAGTGCTATTAAGCCTAATCAGGGCAATGAACTGAGTCCATCCTTCATTCCGCGTGCATATGTATGCACATATGTATGTATGTAAGCATATAGGATAAACTTGATATTTTTGTAGATCTCTAGTATCCAGCGCAGATCGAGTTTGCTGTAAATAGTCTTTTTTTTGCGTTTTTATATTATCGAAAATATATTTGTTTATTTTCTTATACCCTGAATCCATTTAAAATGGAAAGTCATTTTTAATTAAGAGTATCGGCACTTCTTTCTCTCTCCCTCTCTCTCTCTCTTTCTCCCTTTCTCTCTCTTTCTCTTCCTCTCTCATCACACTCTTCATTAGTTTAGAGTTTACAAGGGCCCATAGTTTGTTTTTAACTCCGGCTGAAATAATGTGTGAGCCACTGTATATGTCAGCTGACCAGCTATAACAACCCTGTTCAAATAGCCAAAGTGCCATCTCACTTTCACTCAGCAATACCCGGCAGCACGTTCAGCAATTGCTATCTATCTCTCTAGTACTAATTAAGAATTAAGAAATTGCACTTGCGCAATCATAAGTAAGGAAATTTAGACAACCGATTCCTCCCATAAGATTAAATTAGCGATCCAAAATACATATATTATATCATTACTTATTAGTTTAAAAGAAACCTTGGCTTGCGGTGCACATTTGAAGGCTGAGCCTCATGTTTTGTTTTTCATAGCAGGCGGACAATGTACCCAAAAGTGATGGAAGAAGAAGCACAAAACTGTGTTCCGATCCAAGCAGCGGCTCTTTCGATCCAAGAGCACTCCCACTGCCTGCTGCTTGGCCCTTCCCAGCGGTAGTCGTTGACCCAAATTGAAAGCTGATGCTTCGCCGACGCAGTTCAAGTTCGTGCAAATTGTTTATGGTAAACAGACAGACAATGAAACTAATCAAAGCAAGTGAACAGCCCCCAATGAAGTCACAAATTCTTGTATAGACTTGGGTATTATTTATTTATTTTTTTTTTTTTTTTTTAGGGGAGGCCTTCGCCTTTTGTTTTGGCAGCTGTAATTGAAAAGCGAGCAACCGCAACACGAACCGCAAGAGCGAAAAGCGGCAACAGCCACAGCAAATGAAAATGAATTTGTTGCAGATAACGATGCCCATGATGATGATGATGATGATGATGATGATGATGATAATGACGACTCAATGCTGGCAATGTGAATGATGATGATGCGCGTGCCGAGGCGCCATTTGCCGTTTGGCCAACCAAATCGATCTCTGCGCAAATTTGTTAACGCTTCCGGCCAGGCCAACAGACTCCAGTCAACAAGACTTCAGCTGGAGCTGGAGCTGTGGCTGTGGCTGTGGCGCTGACTGGCCAAGCCACCTGCCCACCAGTCCACCTGCCAAACAAACGTGCTACTGTAACAACAACAACAACAACAACAACAATTGCATTTAGCCTTTTGATAAGTTTTAGACATTCACTTCGCCTTCTCGTTCAATGCCAAAGAAAAACGCGTCATAATTTCCGCGCCGCTTTTCACAAAGCCAAACTAAGCCGAAGAAGAAGCAGAAGAAGCATAAAAAAAACAAAAACAAAAACACATTGAATTTCAAGTTTGGACTCGACTTTGATTTGAATGGCAGCGGGTGAAAGATGAGATTGCATTTTATGCATGGCTATGTCCATGCAAACACATACATAGATACACATATGAGCATGATCGAGCCATGGCCATGATTACGAAGCCAAACTCCTGGCATAATAGGAAACTCCTTATATGCTGCATATATACACATGTATGTATGTATATGTATGTATGTATATGTGCATATTTATATGTCACTTTCGATTTAGCTGAAAGCAATTACAAAAGCAACTCAGACACAACTCAACTGAACTGCCCGGAAGCCGTGCCCAAATGTCCGTTGCTCTCTGATCTCTGGGCTGGGCAAATGGAGCAAAAAAAAATAAAAAGACGAAAACGAAAAAAAAGATAACGTTGTCGGGCATCCAGTTTGGTTAGAACGACACGGCTAGACCCCTTAATTATGGCCAATAAATATTAGCTGCCAAAAGTGCAATAAAGCAGCGGCAAAACGGCTATAAAGCCAAGCTAAAACACAAACCGTAACAAGCCGCTCAGTCCCAGCCGAACTTCGACTCCGTCGCCGTCTGCATATGGGATTGGCCATATATCATGGCAGTTAATTGCACTCGATTGTGGCAAGAGGTTCGCATTGAAGTTCCACCACACACACACACACACAAACCACTCGAACATGCTAAAGAAGCATACGCACGCAGTGCGCACAGTGGTTCGATTCCATGCAGAACATGGCGAAAATGTTGACCTTAGCTGATCTAACCATATTAAATGTGGGAATGCTAAAAATAAGCGCAGAAATATAGATACATCAAATATATCTTACAATGCTAATACGCCCCACAAATTGAGAGTAGGAAGGTACTGGAGACTGATGTGCAAAGCCAAAAGATAATGCTGATGCTATAGCCAAGCATATATAGTTAATAATAATATAGCTAGTTATTATTTATATAAATCTTGTTTTTAATATACAGCCGTCTCAATCGTCAATATTGCTCAACGGACTCTCACATCTACCATATGAGTCTGAAGTTCTGTTAACATCCGTTGACAAATATTTCTGCTTAACAGCCTTGAAAGTTAAGAGCGCTGTTATCCACAATTTGTATAATTGAGAGAACTTTTTCTACGACACTTTCAATTACATAAATGATAACTTGAACCCTTTAATTTACTCTTTCTACTACGTCTGCAAGTACATGATTTCTATAAGGTAAGATTGCCTCTAAGATTGTGTAAAATAAGTTTAAAGTTTAAACAAAGCTAAACCTTTTGATCGTTATAATCATACATAAATATATTATTAAATAATGATCAATATG